GAGCTATTTTGCATAGGACTGCAACTAATAATTATTTTCATTAATAATTTCATTAATTTGATGATTCTAAATTAAATAAAATGATTCTAAATTAATCTGAATTAATTGCTTGGTTTGTAGACAAAAGGAGTTCAAATGTGTCACAATTACCCAGAGTCCAAAGTGACATCTTCACAATGCTTGTTTTGTCCAACCAATACTAAAACCTCAAAATGGTTATAAAATAAATCTAAATAATTAAAATAATTAAAAGGATAAGCAGAAAAATGCTCACATTTGTAAAAATGGAACCATCAAATGTTTTTTGCATTAATGATATGGCATGAAAGGAAAATACTCAAGTAAAGTACATCATACTGAAGTACAGCACTTGAGTAAATCTTCTTAGTTACTGCTAATATGCAAAAGCTGTTGCACCAGTAGGGATGTAGCAAAACAGTGCACTCCCTGTTAAATATATACAAAGAAAATCTACTTGACTCAAACAAATCCATGTTCAACTGCTGGAATAAAAGTGTCAGATTTTAGTTGAGAAGATGTCACTATAGAGAAAATACAATATTCATATATGCACAACATGTTATAAATAAACACAGGTACCAAATGTCACATCTGCCAGCCGAGTTATTGTACCATACCCACATTATATTCCATATTATTACAGTATGGGATTTTCAGTAGTTTCAGGGGAAATTAGTGTTTTCCAGGATTTTTATTCTAAATTATGCATGCCACCTGTGAGGTCTTGCAGTGTTAGAGCTCTTGTCAGACTGGCATTTACTGTAATGATTGGCATTTTGTCTTCAGCATCTGTAAATCTCAGTATGCCGTTGTTTTCAGTGGCTCATTATCATATCTTTTCCCCCAACTTTCAATTAGGAATATGTTGTCATCTGACCCTCATTTCAGATTTCTGGAATATGTAACAGTGCAGAGTAAATGGGGAATTAATAGTCCTCAGTCAAATGTCATATCAACTCATCAACAACAACAGGCAAAGAGTCTATCCAGTTCATTCATTATGCATGTTTAGCTTTTATTTCCCCTGCAGGCCTCTCTTCACTCCACCATGATGGCAACTATCAATGTTTTTTTTTTTAAATGGAATGGAAATGCTCTGACATACAGTAAATTAATCATAAAAAAGTAGGGGCTGTAGTAACAAAAAGCCAAGTACCTGACTGCATCCCTCCAGACACCTTCAAATTAATATTTCACAGTGCTGTCAAACTGCTGACCTTATAGTTTGAAGGCAGTGTCTCCTGAGGCTAAGGTGATGGCACGTGCACAGCAGTACAGTATGCTCTCAGAATTTATGCATCCAGCAATTCACACCCACAAATGACAGATTTACACAACAAACTGTGAGTTTATTCTGTTCGGCAGCTGTTTTTCAGCACAATACAATCTGTGTTTTGGATTCATGCTGATGAGGGAGGTTACCTAGAAATGTATCATTTTTGGTTTGTTTGCGTTTTGTTTGTTTTATCATGCTGTGTAGTTTCCCAGAAACAGCTGGGTTGAGCCAGAGCATGCAGTTCCAACAAGCTCATATTGAGCCAGGAATAGATAATTTCACTAAAACACTCCTGTATAGTTTGTGTAATTCTTGTTATATGGGCAGATCAAAATGTTATTACTTACTGACATATTATGAACATTGCACTTTTGTGATGTATAATCTTCTTTTCATCTTCCTTACCATGACCTTGTCTAATTTAACATTCAATAAGATTAAGAGTTAGAGACTTAGGGACAGTGGTGCTTTCGTTCATCATCTTAGCTTATCATGTTGGCATGCTAAAATATGCTAATTAGTACTAAACACAACATAACCTACAACAGAGGCTGATGGGAATGTCATTAATTTAGCAGGTATTTGTCAAGAAACAACTAATTCAATTATTAACTTGCTGGTGTTGCTAAATAAAAAAGTCAGGGGATCACTATAGATATAATTATTCATTCTAAATGTCTGTAGCAAATTTTATGGAAATCCATTCAATAAATTGCCACTTATTTGACAGCTCCAAATAGACAGGAAATGGGGGCAAAGAGAGAGGGGATTACAAACAGGCACAGGCCGTACTCAAACCCACTGCCACTGCAGCAAGGACTCAGCCTTGGCACATGGCAGCTCTACTAGGCACCCCTACTGTTACATTTTCAAAACTAAACTTCGGTTTAGTGTAGTTCAAACTAACCATGAAAGGTAGAATTAAACTAAATGCCAGAACTCCCTTTGACTGATAACAAATCTATCACAGCGTGAGTGCAGATTCCTGGAGACACCTGGAGTCAGTGACAAACACACATAGAGAGTCAGAGATAAGTGGGAAGAACTAGACACACTGGTGGCACATGAAACACGTCTGTGTCCATCTGATGATGCTGTAGATAACAAACATAATGTTGGGGCCATGAAATTTGACCTTAACAGTTCACTTATGTACACCCACTCTGTGTTTGTGTTGACCATTTCTTTTCACAGAGCCTTTTTTTCAAAGCTGAAGTTTTCAAAAACAGCATGTGGAGTAATTACAGAGCTTTTGCCCTTTGGAACCTTCCTCCATCAGATAATGAAGCAATAATGATTACATAATGCTTCTTTTATGAAAACCCAATAGACTAGTCGCGGCGGAGCACGAACTATGCGCTGTGTCAGCTGACAGCTAGCTTATCATACCCATCAAATCTCAGTGCACTGATGTGGTAGTCTATTTAAAGGCCTTCATGCTCATAATCACTATCGGTGCTTTGCTGCTGCTGCTGCTGCTGCTGCTGCTTCACAAAAGTCTCCACAGCCTCGAACCTCGTCTGGCTCTGCTATTTTTTATCCCCCCTGCTGAGGTTGGATCATTACGTTAGATACGTGACTATTCTTTGCTGTTCTCCCTCCAGGTTATTGTTATTATGTGTTGTCTACTCAGTTATGCTGTACTGCTGCCGCATGGAGCCTTACCAACAGCAGATCCATGCCGCCAAGTCAAATAAATGTATTGCCATCTCTGACTGCAATACATGACATCAGACCCTGATAAAACAATGGTTAGTGGCGGTGACCTCATTCTACCTTCATGCATGGTAATGATCTCAGAGAGGATGTGAGGGCGAGACTTTGGTGGAATGAAAATAAGTGGTGATTCTGGCATATTTTGTACCTTACAGGCAAGAACATAAAGATCTTGATTATTATACTAAACTATTCCAGCATTTCTTATAAGAGTTTAAAGGAATAGTTTAACATTTTGGGAAAGATGCATCCTTGCCAAGAGTTAGATGAGAGGGCCGATACCGCTTTTGTATTTGTGCGGTAAATGCGTAGCTTGAGCCAGCGGCCGTTTAGCTTAGCTATTAGTAAAAGGACTGAAAACAGTCAGAAACAGTTAGCCTGACTCTGCTCAAAAAGTCCACCCACCAGCACCTCTAAAGTTCACGAATAAACACATTCAGTCTATCCATTTGTGGACCAATCAGCGTCTTTTGAGGAGGCAGCTATGAGGATGAGCGCTAAGTGTGACGAAGCAAGACGATACTGTTCGTTAAACAACAATGGCAGCTCCCATAGAGATTTTATCATTGAAAGAAGAGCAAAGAACGGCACCGAAGGCTTTTCTTGATGGAAAAGATGATTTTGCTCTTCTCCCTTATGGTTTGTTGATCTGATTGGTTGAATTCATTAAATCGTAATAGACTATGATAGACAGTTGGTTCATCCAATCACCTGCCAAGCATTTTTTGAAAGCACCTATCCTTTTTCTAACAGTTTCCAACAAAGACTTCCCAGATGGTTCTGTGTAACAAGCTAACCATCTTCCGGCTGGGGTGTCATATTTACAGCACAGATGGTGGTATCAGTCTCATCATATAACTCTCTGAAGAAAACAAGTTGACATCTTTCCTGAAATGTCAAACTATTCCTTAAGGAGTCAACTGTGAAACAACTGCATTTACAAACTTTCAGTCTCTACAACTGTTGGCTACATGCTTGCACCCTCCTTTAAATCAATCTTTTTGTGTGTTTCGGTTTCCATACAGACATTTAAAAATAAATATTATATATTTTATATTATATTATTAATATAATATCAAAATGTGTCGATGACCAAAGTAACTTATGTATATAAAAACTACATTAGTAAATTAAAATAACTGCATAAGCTACTGTATACCATTATCCTCACTGCTCCTCTTTTTGTATGTCTTCTTTTATTAAGTTTGTTTCATCTTTCAGTCTAACATTTCATTGGATCTTATCTATCTATAACTATGTGGATATTTTTGTGCTTTTACGGTTCCTCTAAGATTAATTCATTTATTTGCGCAGTTGGGGTTTAGAAGCTCTGGTAAAAAAAATAATTAGACCCTCGGACAAATAATATAGATTATAAAGAGATGGTTCAAATTGTTTCGGTGTAATTATGTTTCATCCACCACTTTGCAGTACATTCATGCTTTTAAGCCTCCTTAAAGGCTGATTAGAGCTTAAAGAGGCCTCAGGCTGCTTTTTATTATTCCTACTTATTCTACAAATAAATCATTTCCTTATTAATCCGGTTTCCTCAAGAACTGCCATGACACATTAATATGGAAACTATATCTCAGTAATTTATTAACTCAACCAATATGATTTGAGACACATACTGTATTAAATTGTCTGTGTAACAATTTAATTAACGGTAGCCAAATTGGTTGAAATACTCTTATTTTACAATGTCTTTAAAACCAGTGTTGCTGACTTTTTTTTCTAGAACCATTGTATGTCCATTGAGTTATGAATATATGCCAAAGGTCAGAGCCATCCTTATGTCAATAAGCTATCAAATAAATAAGAGGAAAAGAAGCAACAGACTTTGACCTTTCTGGTGTTTTACATTCTAGTGGAGACTTAATGTCCTCTGTCTCAGATAGACCAACTTGTCATTACCTTAGTTGTGTACTCTTGGCACCAATCAGATTATATCTCTTCTTAGCCAATGGGGACAAAGCAAGCTAGTTGACTGGGTGTGTTGTGTTGGAGTTTAAACTTTGGACCCGAGAAGAAGAGCTGAGAGATACAGTGGAGTCTCTTTAGGAACGGAGACAAAGCTCCAGTACAGAGTAAATTGGATATTTTGGATGGATCTCTGTGGTCCTAGCAAGGACACTATGGAGCACTACCGAGACCAGGTAAATAACTAAATGTTATACTTTTTATTGCATTGCAGTTTGCCAGTTATGGGTTACTGGGGCAAACCCACAGAGCAAAGTTCAGGCTTGAGAGCAAATTAAAAGCCTAAATCATAATCTTATGGCTTCCAAAATCAAACAAATGGTAGAAATGGCAATGAAAGTACAGAATTATTACAGAAAAATGGTCACAGAGACCAACAGATATCTAGGCAGATTGGGGAAACATATTGTACGGTACAGTGCATTCAGGGAGGATCATGGCAGTAAATGGCAGTCCCCAGCTGTGGCAGTATATGAAACCTTTATATTTTTGTTGTTGGTTCTAAAAGGATGAAAGATAGTACTGTGTGTGACATTAAATGTCATGATCTCATTTCAGGGTTGTGATGGCATTGAGCTGCTCGACTGGCTGTTTGATCAAAACGATGGAATTCTCCGTCATGAGGAAACAGGACGCCATGGCAACCATCACACCTGGCCAATCCAGGACCCAAATGTGCGTGAGACTGTGTCACTCGCTAATGTCACTCATACGTGCAACAAATAATTGTCTGCTTTGTATCCACTGTATAGTTACTCCTTGACATACTCTGTAGGTCTTTGTCTGTTTTTTAAAAGACTGTCCTATCTCTCACCATGTTGTCATCTCACACAGACAGACTAATGATAGCACTCAGTGTTTTCACCCACCAGATGCTGCAGCCGGCCGGACAGGCAGACGATGACTTCCTCAATGCCCTCCTGACGGGAAGTGATTCTGTGTCAGGCTCACCTCTCTGGTCCCCTTCTCACAGTGACAGCGGGATTAGTGAGGACCCTCCATCAGACCAGATGGACAGCCCTCAGCGCCCAGAGAGCCCCCCAGGGGATGTTCAGTTTTTCAGTACGGGGCCACAGTCTAAGGCAGCCCTGGAAGCCAACGTCTCAATTGACCTCAGTGAGTTACAAATATCCACAAGAAAAACAAACATAGTGGGACACATCTAGGGGTGCCACTAATCGTTATTTTCATCATCACTTGGTCTACCGGTTATTTATCTTGATCAATCAGTGTGTTGTATGGTCAATAAAATGTTAGCAAATTGTGAAAAATGCCTGTAAAAAGTTACAAAGAGATGTTGTCAAAAGTCTTTGACCAACAGTCCAAAACTCATTTCAGAACACTAGAACATATTCACCTACAAATGTTTGCTTTTTTCTCATGAAAATTATTCAAACAGTAAATCATTGTGAAAATGTAATCGACTAAGCTCTATCTGGTTGTGAGCAGAGAATGATCACTTGGGGGAAAAAAGTGAATTTGGCATTACAGTCACAATATCCAGCACATGACTCTCTGGATCTCCTGCAACACAGAGGATAAAGTAGGATGGCATTCATTATTTGTGACTGTGTACAAGAGCATTCAAACTATCAAAGACACTGACGTTATTGCCATCAAAAACAAAAAATACCAAAGACAGTAATTAGTATTTGCGTAACATTAAGGCTCCAAATGTCTTTTGTTGTTTTTAATTTTTTATTGTTGTTTGCCACATAATCCAAACACTGACTCTAGCATGTCATATTGATCTTTGTTTGCATGGACTTTATGTATATTCCTGTGTCTGTGTGGGTGCAGATGGCTGGGAGCCCACCTTCCCAACGGGCAGGACAAGGATTACACAATATCCCTCAGATGTACAAAGACCGCAGCTGTCCTCTGGCTTCCCACTAACTGTCAAGGATCTGCTACTGTCTGGCACACCGGAAACCGTAAGTGTATTCTGGTTGTGGTGGGAGTTTGACAGTTGGTGTGGATGCTACAGTAGGGGTGGGGGGAGAGTGATAATGTGTTATGTGTGTTTGTGCATCTTTCTTTAGCTGCTTGACTCATGCATAGGGCCTGTTGTTTACCTTTTGAGTGAGTCAGTGTGTGTGTGTGTGTGTGTGTGTGTGTGTGTGTGTGTGTGTGTGTGTCTGTGTGTGTGTATTTTGTAAAAAACAAGTGGCTGACTACACTTGCTGAAATCATGCATTCAGGGAGGAGTTAGGAATTTGGAATAGCAAATTAAATTCCTATTTTTTGTTTGTTGTAGGAAGGTTTGCAAAAACCTTCCCAGCAGCACTGGGGTTTGTATGCTGACACACATACGAGGAATACACAGAAACATTTAAGATAGTGTTCTGTTGAAGTCGATATTTCCCTTGAACTTCCCCAGAATTGGTTAATTCCTTTATGATTTTTGAGATGTGGCCTTTAATAGGTGTGCAAAGTTTGCATTTATTTAAGATTATCCAATTATATTTTGTGTAGAGAAAGTTTTTTGCTGCATCATACATCCATCCATTAGTTTTTCCCACTTATCCTTTAAAGGGTGGCAGGGGTCTTGAACTGATCCCAGCTGACATTGAGCGAGAGGCAGAGTACACCTTGGACTGGCGACCTGCCATTCACGCTCACATTCATACTGACAGGCCATTTAGAGTTGCCAATAAATGAAACTGGCATGTGTTTGGACTGTGGGAGGAAACTGGAGAACCCAGGCACAAGGACAACATGCAAACTCCGCACAGAAAGGCCCCAGCTGGCCAGCAGGCTTGAACCCAGACGGTGGCCGTGCCAACCACTGTTGCAATTATACTTGTCATAATCATTTAATTCCCAAACGAAATATTCCTAAAAGTGGAGGTCGCCAGGTCAATACAGAAGATCGCCACAAGCTTAGTAATGTGTTTGTGCTTCTGAAACTAGAGGGTATACAGCAGTTTGGATTTCAGCTCACTCCGGGTATTGATCCTCATCTTCGCAGCCAAGCTTAATAAGATGAAGGAGAGAGTGACAGAATGCAACTTAAGTTCTCCCACCATAATTGCTTTGAGGTAGCCATGAAATGCGAGTGATGAAGGTGGCCTGATAGTCTGCACTCATTTAACTACTTCTTGTGAGGCTCTAGGCAGAAAGGGGTGGTGGAGAAGGAGGAGAAGAAAGAGGTGGGCAGGTGGAAACTAAATCAAACAGCAGTGACTATGTTTTAAATATTAGTATTCATATCTCGCCACCAGCCTCCACACCCATCCCAACAGTCCATCCAAGAGTTGATTCTCAATGAAGATGAGAAGAAGCTTTTAGCAAAGGAGGGGGTGAATCTACCCAGCCAACTACCTCTTACAAAGGTAAATTGCTATTAATACCTAAACAATGAAAACAACCGCCAGCTCCCAGAGTTTATCCCGTGGACACTCAAAATGAAAATGTTCCTTCCTTTGTCAATCAGTACGAAGAGAGGATTCTGAAGAAAATACGAAGAAAGATTCGCAATAAGCAGTCTGCTCAGGAGAGCAGGAAGAAGAAGAAGGAGTATATTGATGGGCTGGAGAGCAGGTAAGAATCTAATTTAAGTAAGAGTAACAAGAGAAATGGTTATTGTTCTGCATGTGTTTGCATCTTAACAACATATTCAATATTCTAACCATTTTCCAAAGCAAACTGTGAATTTCTTGATTGTTTTCCTGCTGTACCCCCCAGGAAGCCATTGGCGTGTTCATTTCAGCACATTATGAAAGTCCCTATTAGGGTCCCATGTGCCAGCCCTGCAATGTAACTGTGGTTTGATTCTGGTCTTTGTCAAACGCTCCCCATATTATTATTATTATTATTGTTATTAGTTGTCACAGACTGAAATGCTGAAAATATTCTGTGCAAAAATTGTATTTACTTTGCAAGGTAGCAAGGTAGCTAGTTGTTTTTGTCAACTTTTTGTCAAGGCTCCTGACTGAAAGCTTACAAAATAAATATGATTTTTCTACAGATTTGAGTGTGCAGATGCTTTTCTTCATTGAGTTTGATAGTCTATAGCCCCAGCACCACACTGAAGCCTGATACCGGAGGAGTGGTGTTTTTTTTCTATTCTTCACCTTGCTTCAGATGTGCAATCCATTTTATCATCGGTTTTGTGACAAAGTTACAGTTACATGGTATTTGTGAGCAGGGATAGTTAGAAAGCCCACATTTAGCGGATGATATTTGTACATACTGGACTAAAACTAAAAACTAAAAACTAAACTTCCTGAATGAAGAAGGAAGCTTTGAAATGTTTCTTGAACAGGTTGTTTTCCAGTGGGTTTAAAATTATGATTGCCTAATGGAGCAATGTTTGATTCATAGATGTTTGCAGTAACAAACTAAGTGAGATAATTTTATTTTCTCATGTATTATCTCATCTAGGATGGCTGCCTGCAATGCACACAATCAGGAGCTGCAGAGGAAAGTGTCCCAGCTGGAGAAATGCAACATGTGAGAGATTTTGAAACATGACTTCTCTTTCTATTATTCCCTCCTTTTTAATCCCCTGACAGTATTTTTGAATGACATTTCCTCCAATCAGAAACTGCCTTTAACATCTCCCCTCAAACCCTTGCTAATCAAATTATTTTTCTCTGTCTTTTGTCTTTTGTCTTTCATTTTTTCCCCATCCTCTCCGCAGGTCACTAATGGAACAGTTGCGCAGGCTGCAGGCTCTGGTCATGAATACATCTAACAAGCCAGCCCAGACAGGGACATGTGTACTGGTATGGACGACCTCTGTGTGTGTGTGTGTGTGTGTGTGTGTGTGTGTGTGTGTGTGTGTGTGTGTGTGGGTTTGTGTGTGTGTGTGTGCCAGGCAGATAAACAAACTGCCATTCACTCCATATGACTCATCGTTAAAAACATTCACCTTCATAGCTAGCCAAATCGCAACAACCACTATAACTATATTAGCCACCAAGAAAGGCCAAACTAGAAATGTACATAATGGACAAGACGGCACACGACATAGTCTTCATATAAAGAGAAATACAGACTGCACAGTAGCCATTTATTGCTTTTGATCACTCCAGTAGAATAAAGTGCAAGACCTGAGGCAACATAAGTGGAGCAGAATTTTAAAAATGTAACTTTTAATCTATAAATATGACTGTGTCGCAGTTCGCCGTCACAGAGTGCTTTGCTTCACAAGAAGCAAGAAAGGAAACGATTATCGTTTCCTCTGAACAGTATTCACAAAGGGAATATCCAGACCACTATCCATTCAAAAGTTCAACAATGTAGAACACAGATTTTCAAGTAAGAACTCTCTCTGACTTGAACTTTAAGTGTGAATGATGTACTTTCCACTGATTCCAGCCATCCTTTATCTTATTCTCTTTTTCTCCGTCCCTTAGGTGCTCCTGCTGTCCTTCTCCCTAATCCTGTTCCCCAGCCTCAAGCCCTTCTCTGACACCAAGGTCAGCCAAGGAGACTTCACTCCAGTCAGAAGTGAGTAACTTTCAGTACCAAATAGCTTTGTGTGCCCGCCTGCCAACTAATCCAGCACCTCTCTGTCACAGCTGAGGAGCTTGTTAGAACTGCGGTCTCACCCACTGCTTGAAAGGTTCTCACCTGCAGAGCCTCACAGCCTGCTCCGCCTGTCTGAGGATTTGCTGTCGACTTAAAACTTTAAAGATTAGAGCCGATGCACAGAGAACCATGGCCATGTATTATCATTACAGTTATTAAGCTATTGCTCTGTCGCTGATGAATGACTAGTAATTATCGCTTTATTATTAGATTTATTGGCACAAACCTCCACAATGTAGATTTTTAATTAGGAGGCAAGATTAGGTTTTGCACAGCACCAAGGTGTAATTTGTTACCATAAGCTGTTTGACAGCCTTGAAAAAGCAATCGATGCTACACTTTCCCTTAGTGCTAAAGGCTATGTTACACGTTTTTAGAGGTTTAGAGTCTTTAATGTCTCTAGGCTTGAATTTGATGTACTTACGACACAGACTTGCTTACCATGGGTGCCAGCATACTTTACATCACCCAATATTTATAAGCAGCATACAAGCATTTAGTACATGGTTTGTAGCATAGTGTAATGTAGTTGTAAGCAGATATATGGAACTTTTTTTTTAATGTACTGCATTTGTCAGCAATTATAACTTATCACAAATGTTTTAATATATTGTCACTTGTTATCTGTTTATACACCAGCCTCCACTTAGGGATGCCCACAGGAAGAGTTAGTAATAAAAACTTAAAGAGATACTATATCTGCCTGCCTGAGTGTTATAAACCATCAATTAAATCTGTATACAGTGCTTATAAATGTGAAATTGGGGGATTTAAAGTAAAGCCAAATACACAATAATAAGCAGAGCTGCATGTCCAAAAAGGCTTGAATTTGTTTATCTTTTCTGTCTTATTTTCACACAGTCCAGTCACGGTCCCTGCAGAACCTCCAGGCCTCCCGTGTGTTGCATGTCACTGACCCCCCCTTCTCCACTGAGGATGAATCTGAGCCTCTGCACCAGCATTTCCCAGGAGACCGGGAATTGGAAGATATTACCACACTGATGGAAAAGCTGGGAGTAAAACAAGACCGAACCAGTTTGGAGCCCATGTCTCTAAACAGCAGTCAGGAAGACAGGATGGATCATTTTCATGTGGACCCAATTACTGGTCACATAGCTACTTTGACCTTGGATCCCCACCAATCTGCCAGACTCCGACCACATGCTGATGACATGTAAAAGAAATGAATAAATTATCGCTGCAAGAAATCCCCAAACCGCCCTCCTCCCAATGGTAGAATAAGGCATTATCTGGGGCTGCTGTTTACACAGACAGGGGAATTAGGTTTTAATCATTCCTGTTTTGCCTTTAATATATATGTAGTCTGTATACCTTTTCCTTATTTGTGATACTGTTTTATATATCAGTATATGGATTTAAATCTTACACTGAAATTGCCTGTCAAGATAAACTGTGTATCATTTGCCTCCTGGCTTTGAAAAAAATGCCAGTGTAAATTAGTGTGTTTGAGAGTGTCAAAAACTGGGTAAATAGAGCAGTGATGAAGTGTACAGTTTTGATGTGAACGGATAATTCGTAAAACGTTTAAGGATTTTGAAAGCATGTTATCTTTCAAGCATTGATTGGATTTGTTTAGATTCATTCATGGGTAAAACTGCCTCAAATAAAAAATGTCAAAGAGTGATCAGAAGGCTCAAAGCGCTGTGAATTTATTTTCTCTATGATGTTTTACAGCTTTAATAATTAAAAAGAACCTTTTTAATTTTCCTGAACAGTGCCTGAAAGTGTATTATCCAGTGTCTAGACAGGCCTTCTTTCTAAGGGTGAGTACAGTAGGTTTGATGTTAGTTGAGAGATGGTTTACAGAGAGGGAGACAGAAAACTGGGCCAAAGGTGGAACAGATGACCTCTTATCTCATGACTCAGACTTCTTACTCAATAATCGACATGTTGACATATTTACCCATGGAAGACAGGCTATAGCTTGTGTCCACAGCGCTCAACGTGTCTGGCTTGTCAGTGCAGACCACACAGTGATGAAATGAAAGGGCTCTTATCCTCGCTGCCACTTAGGTGCGAATTTCATCTAACATTTAAGGTATGACTTGTTCAGGTTGACATTTTCTCTGGTCAGCTAGGCTTAACTTCATTTTATCACAAAACCGAATCTCCAGCCCTCCGGTTCTGTGATGAAATGATCCACTATAGACTGGCTGGTTATTAATTTATTTAGTTTTTGACTGAACCTTTGTTTCACATCAAAACAAATTCATCCAAAAACTGGAAGACTTTCTTGAGGGAATAGAAATCATACACATTATTTTGACATTTGCTAATATGGAGCGATAAAATTTCAAGGTTTTTAAAACACCTTAAACAATAGAAAGGTTTTAAGGGCTAGATCTGTGTTTTAATATGATACAAAGGGAATTTTACAACCCCCACAATACATTATAAGCTTTTCTTCAACCCGCCCTTTATGGAGCTGACACATGAAGCCAATAGTTGGCTGTCAGGCCCTGTCAGGCCTTCAGTAGCTAACTAAATCAGCAGTCAGTTGGCTATAGAGTTGTTGCAGTGTGTTCAGGTGAAGCTTTAAGACATGAGGCAACATCAAATGCCTCAGTCAGTCTTGATTGGCACAAGTTCTTTAAAACGGATGTGCCAGGGTCCTTAAGGCGTCAGAATGCTTGAACTGCAGTGATTGTTAGATGATGGTACAACGTCTTCCCAACAATCCTCTCCCTCAACGGCTCTGTGAGACTGTCCAGTACTCGTGCTGCAATCCATTGCAAGACGGAGGTCAATAGTGTCAAGTGGGCATTCCCCACCTCTGAACTAAATGTGTCCCAGTGCATCTGCTCAGGAAAACATGGACATCCACAGCAAACAGATGTTTGTTAGCACTTTAAAAGAGAGGAGAGGAATAGGCTTGTGGCCTACTGCATGTTTGCAAAGGCATCTATCAAGCACAAATCTGCTGAATGGCAGTGGAAATGGACAGGGGGTTTCACAATGGAACAACATATGGTAAACATTTGATCAGGTCATTCTGCTTAAAGGTCACTGTGCCGGTGAACTTGGGGCTAGACAGATCTTCCCAGCATTTCTAAATTGGAATTTGACTTGAATGACCTTTCCATTTTCAACATTTCTGCGTCAGAGGTTGCTCTTTTTTTTTTTTTTTTACAAGTTTCGAGCACAATGGACTGCAGCATTAGGCACAGTGCTGCTTTGAGCTAAAGGCTAGGTCTGCCTGCTAGCATACTCAGCATACTCAATGACAGTGCTAACATGCTAATGTTTGTCCACCGATTGTAGGTTAGCCTACTAGCATGCTAATATTAGCTAATTAGCACTAAATGTAAAGCACAGCTTATATTAAAAATTCCACCTGATGACGGCACTTGAAGAAAGATCAGAAGGTTGCCAAAGTTATTACGATTCATGTTGTATATAAATTAGTGCTATCGTATGAATGTTTACGAACTACTTTGTTTCCTGCTGCTTAAAATAGACTCAATCACATCACAGATTTTGTGGTTTAATAGAGAATAAAATCAGATCATCAGGTCAAATTTTTACTGAACAATGAATTCTGAAATTTGTTTTACTGTTTTACTGTGTGTGATTAATGAATAATTATTTTATGTGGCCAGAGGGTTTCATTCTTCCAATCACTGCTTATCCGATTAATTGTCACTTTTCAATTTATTAATATCTGACTGCTCTGGGCTTGTCTCAGGTTTGCATACTAATAATTAACTAATAATCAACTCTGCCGAAAATGGCAGTGTACTCTGTAAAACTTCTTATTTAAAGTAAACTTACTTTAATTAATTTAAATCGTACTGATAAAATAACATCATCAATTATGTTATGTATGAAAGTAAGCACATTTTACATGCCTATGAACACACCTTATGCTCTGTGTCAGCACGAACTGGTGATGTGTGACCTGGTTGACTCAATGTCTCTCTATCACGGTCCCCCATCTGTCCCCCTTCCTCTTTCATCTGACTCTGCCTTGTTTTTTTCTCTAATCAGGGTGAAAGTCTCTTGACCATCAGCATCTCTAATCAGGACCTTAACCCATCGCTTTGATTAACCAAATCCCTGGAGCCAGGAGGCCACTACACATGTATCGGCTCCTGCTGAGTTTGGTTAGCCATAAAGGAATGATGGGAAGACTCAGTGTCTATCACAACACCCCTCATCTTCTTTTTTAATCTATAAAATGGGCTTTTTTCTTTCAAGGTGTGACGGTGACCTAGATAAACTTAGTGTATTACTTGTTTGGTGAAAGATTCCTGAGCACCGCCTGACTTAACAAAATTGTTTTTCCAATTCCACAGGAATGAAGAGGGAATTAAAACACCTAACCACACACTCAAGCTTGAAAGCTTAGTTTAATCAATATCTCACACCTCAGAGAAGTACTATAAAAGTTTTATGTGCTTCTTTTGTTTTTTTTTTTTTTTTTTTTGTCTTGTTTTTGAGGCATGATGCATGTGCTCTGCTGCAGCACTAATTTCATAAAAATGCATCAGGCTAATAAGAGATAACATTACTGGAAGTCTCTCTACAAAGCCATCACAGTACTAAATTTAATCTCTAACAGCAACCAATATGTGGAATGAATGAAATGGCATTATACCTGCAGAATAATAAACTATTGTGAAGTATAGCTGGTACTGGTACTTTGTAAATGAATTAAATTGACTATTGTAGATTAGTGTAGAGCTGGTATTAACTGCAGTCTCCTATGGGCCATTTCTTTCCATCTTTACTATACACTGTAAGCTGTCCATGTATCAGCATTTGTAACCTCTCTTAGTCTCAACACAAGGCACACATCAGCACAGGAAATTATCCTGACATTGACCTGGCATAAATTAAGTGTCTGATAATGAAAGTCTCTGTGAATTACATTAACTAGCCAGCTACGCTGCTACATGCTAAGAAAATGTGCCTCAAATACATATTATTTATACATATAGTTAACATAATCGTTTATAACATAAAAGTAAGGGTGTATTACTCAATATGAGTGAGTAATTTGTGAATTGGAATTAATTCATCAGACATTTCTGCAGCATGAATAAGGATGTGTGTCATGCACCGGTTGCCATTAGTTTGTGGTTGTGACATAATAATAACTTGGCATTTATTAATTAATTGTGTAAACTAGTAAATGTAATTAAAGTATGAATTAGATGGTGGAATTAAAGGGCCCATATGTGCAGTTCCCAAGCACAGAAATAGATCAGCCATACAGTGTAACACATCACAGAGATTTACCTTCTCTTCTCTTCTCATAATACAACACTAATAAAAATAAGCAATGTTTTAAAAAAATTGCCATTAGACGTAAATACTGCATATTATACTGTATTTACCCTCAAAAGATATGTCTCTACAATCTTTTATTCTCTTCACAATTGTGTTTTCAAAAATCCACTTTGTTGCCAAACATACTATGATCCCTGTGGAATTGCTACATAGCTGTCGAGTACAACATAATTACTCTAAATTTCACAGTGTGTGACAAACTACTGCAGACAGACACTGACTCATCTACAACCAAAAGGCTGATGAACAATAAATTTAATCAAAAACACTGCACACGAGATAATGGTTTTGTGCCCATTTAAGTAAATGAATGGGGTTGGGTTCTTAATTTGTCAGTTATTAATCTGTGCACCTAATTTGTGGTGATTTATGTGCAAGTGAATGTATGCAGCCTTGTTTGAGTAGAATTCAGAGGGCAGTTCTGCATCAGCCAGGTTTCCACCTACAACCAATAATAAGGAAACCAAGAAGTCAAACTGCAAACAGCAAAATATACAGTAGCTGTTTGTCATATGTTTTTCTGTTAAAATTGCCACAGTTTTGTAAGCTGTGTAAACAGACTGGCCTTAGCTTTCAGTTTTTGACACTCTGGCAAATTAATGCAGGATGAACCAAATGCAAGTGATTACCAAATGAATAAAATCACAACTGTTTCAACAGAGATTCTGCCAGTAATATCATCAGCATTGTAACATATGTGCAGTATTTCTCAACAGAGAGTTGGTGCAGCTGTTTTGTTGTTTTGCTGCAAAAGATAAAATTACCCTTGACAGCACATTTTTACCAAGGTGTGGATTGTAGCCTAAACATGCTGCTGTAAAAACTGTCTTGGATGAAGAAATCTAAACAAACAGCGGTCTGAAGAAGTCACTACAATTACTTCTGCCTCCAATCTCTGTGTCAGAGCTGTAGGCAGGGCAAGTACTGTAAAATGTTAGCAGAGCAGACACCTTGCTCTGAATAGAAAGCATATTAAATCAGCTTTGGATCCAGTCCAATTGAGCAATTTTAGACGCAATGTATAATTGGTACACTCTTAAAGAGGTAATTAAACTCAAAGAATATTTATAGCTCTTCCCATCTTAAGAAGAGTTATATATATTTTGACTGACTTCTGGATAAAGTTTTGTACCTGGAAGGCTGATTTGCAAACAACATGTCAAAAGTATATAAAGTTTATGCAACTTTTTACAACTGTTTTTAAAGTTCCCAGTATTTTCCAGGAATTGGAGGTGTTAATGAAATGCAAATCTATGCAGAACTTTCTCTTAGTTTTTTAGTTTTTCCCATAGTTGTAATATTCTAGTTCTTTAATTTGGTACGGTACATATTAACTTATCGTAATGTCCCAGACACTTATTTCGGTTGTTTTTTCTATAATTATTGCCCATAGCTTTCTAGAGGGCAACTGAATCATTAGAAAAACAAAACAGACTACACCTCAGTCCAGTCAGCTCAGATTCAGCAATGACAAAGTTGTATTTGGATGGTGGTGAGGGTGAGTCAACACACATCCTACACACAAACCCACACACAAACCCACACTGTGCAAACAAATGAAGGTTTCATTAACCGGGCACTGTGTTACCCTAGAGCTGATGGCTCCACTTGGCACTAAAACTGAACCTAAAAGCTCCATAAATAACTATGTCACCTATTATTTACCTCAGTGTTTACAAAGGCTAAAAGGACAAATATCAGTGCAGTCTCTACAGAGAGATGTAATAACAGAAGAAACATACCAAAAGAGCTCAAACATAAGACTTTAAGGTAGATTTGGTCCATGTGAAGTGATTCTTGTGTATTTCCCTTAAATTATTAAATGAAATTATGCATTCTGGAGAACAAATAAAATGAATCTCGCCCAAAGGAATTTTCTGATTTCAGATTTGTGCATGTAGAGTCTAAAAAAAAGGATGCATTTACATTGTCCTTAATTAAAGCACTTTGGATTGATGTGGAGTTGTGTCTGGTCATAGATGAATGTTTGACAGCAGAATTGCATCCCTAGACTTGGGCCCATACCAAATATTAGCCTAACAGATGACAATCTGAAATTGTTCTTTTTCCACCCTGGAATACTAATCTCTCTCAAGGTGATCCTGACTGTGAGCCCGAGACCAGCTCTGTGAACAGGTTGCCATTCGCTCCAATGCGAGATTTTTATGCCATCAAAAATATGTTGGTATTCTGTTAGGATTATCTCTAGCCCCGCTGGGACAAGGTAGTAAACTGTTTTAACTCATTCAAGGACACAGCAGCTCAGAACTCCAGGCATATAGACATCAAAACATATCCAATCTAATCTGTCAGTCTCAGTCAGTTTGTTCTCTCACTGAATACAAATTTGCATGATCAATCATGATGACAGCCCCAACAACCCTGGAACAGGCTGTATAGTCATACCCTAACCTCAAATTCACTTCCTTTCAGTGAATAAAAGAGTGACACAACAACGAAGACTTGGGGTCTTTGTCTTCTCTATCGATGTGACACAATCCCTCTTGTCCCGGGCCTACCACAGCAACCGCTTCAAAACATGCCTGCTCAAAATGTGCCTGTTCAGAACGGGCTGATTGCTTGGCCTCTAGTATTGCTGCTTGAGGCTGTCTCAACATGATTAACCTGCAGAGGCAAAGAGCCCCTGCAGTTCTAGACTCACATTTTTAGACATGAGCTACACCTAAATAATATGACAGAGACATGCATGTCTGAAACAATCAGAGTCCTAATATTGTTCACCTTTTTGACATAATACTTTTTCCTCTGTAGTAGAGGGGGAAGAACTGCTGACAACAGAATAAATTACCTTGAACAAGATTTTGGAGTTGTGGAAATCAAAATGGAGAAACAGGCTGATCTTGTCTCTTTAACAGCAATCTAATACCTTGATCATGTGATTTCTCAGGATGTCAAGGGAAATTTGTAACCTATTAGCCTTCATACATTCAGCTTTTCTGCATTGTCTCCTGAGGGACCATGAGTGCCATTGAGCCATGAGGGGGATTATGTTTTTTATTTCTAATTTGAGAGGAGAAATATGGTCAAGGAGAGAGGCAGATATTGTTGAAAGAATGGGCCAAGGCATCTGTTGCTGCATTAAACAGCTCAAGATTAAGATACTGAGGAAAGAGTGACAGAATCTGTTGCAGAATAAACATTAAGAACGTATGACAGGACAGGGGCTCATTGGGAAGAGATAGGAAACATTAAAAAAATAGAAACGAGGATTAGAAGGACAACATACATGGATATTAAAGTCACTAAGGGTGAGTAGTCTGTCATATTTGGGTATAACAAGAGAGAGGTGCTCAGAAAATTCATGAATAAAAACATTTAACTTAGGAGGTCTGTATAACAGTATGCAAAGCAGAGCAGAACTGGACCAGAAAATAAGGCTCTCTCCAACAATCTAGCTTTCTTTGTGCCAAACAGCATTTCATTTTGTTTGTATCTGTGATCTTAGAGGCAAGATAATGATCTTATCCTCCATAGACATTTATTCACACCTGAGTGAACTTCCTGACCCATCGCCGCATATTTTTTCTATATCTGCAAATGGCTACAACGCTTACTATTGAATATTATTAATCATAAAATGCTGAATCACCCTACAGTGTCTCAGATTTCTTATCAATAGCACGTCCCCTGCTATCTCATAATGCTTTGAGAGGCACCTTTGCCTCTTGTCACACCCCACATCGTATATTACCCAGATTGGGGTAAACAGCTGTAAAGAGGATACAAATTGCGCTGGGGGAATTCATTCTGATTGGCCAAACCAATACAGTCATATTTCACAGTGCATAATCTGCAGAAGTAATTTGGCATGACAGAGTGCTTTGCCTGTGGTAATAAAACTAGGGTTACAATGCATACATTCAATTACACACACAAGTGGGGAACAAAAACTAACCTTATATGCTAAGTAGAATACTTTCCATCAGCCCTAGCAATTACTGATGGCTTTATCCACATTTTGATTACAGCGTTTATGTGAGGTGTCCTTCACAGCTACAAAATAACTTGGAGTGGATGAAAACTGGTTTGGTAAGCAACCTGTGAAATAGCAGGTGCTTAGTAAGTAACCTGTAGAGATATCACAGACTTGAATGCGTAGAACATTAAATAAGGCTTTCTGACAGTGCTTGCGCATATGGAGGTGGGATGTTAAGATGACAAAAACTGGGTTGCAAGGGATTAAAACAGTGCAGATTAATTTTTTCATCCAGTCATGTCTTTTTAATTTACTCAAAAACGTACAGGGTGGGATTACTTACAGACAAGGGAAGTGATTCCAAAAACTTGTTGTTGGAGTAGTTCATAGTCCAAAGACAACCCCACTTTGATTAAAACTGTTTCTGCCATTATTCTACCTGGTCTACCTGGCCTTCTCTGTTGGAACATATGACAGCATCTACAACAGGTGGCAGAACAAATCTCAATGCCAGCTGGCAGCACTCAAAAACTGAGGAAAAATGAATGTTGATGGCATGACTGTGATTTTGCAGCAAATCGTGTGATGAGAAAGCATGTTATTAGAATTTGGAAAGACAGAAAACCGGGAAGTTTTGCATGATGCAAAGTAAATCAGTTCTGAGCTAGAAAACATTTTATAATCAGTATGTAAGGGATTCTCAACAAAGAATTCAATTTAATGTTTGTTTGTAATAAACTCCTTTGTGATTACTTGGTTTACTTTGAACTTTGACACTCTATCCACTCCTCTATATGCATAAAACTGCAAATGCTTAAAAGAAAACACATTTCCTCAGTGAGTTTTGATCTTGTTTTCAATATTCACAATCTATTGTTTTTTTTGTCAGTATATAAACAGTTCAATATTCTAAAGCTCAAAATCACTGAAAACATTTGTATCGTAGCGTTTAAAAAGTGGAAAATTGATTAGTATTGTTATTATTGGCAATAACATCTTTATTTTCAATGTGTCCCTTTAAGTTGAGCACAATTTTCGTGGTGTATTTAAAATGTGCAGAGAAGCTCCTGACCCCGTTTCCTTTCTCCTTTAAAAAGTTGCAACAGTCATGGGATTTGTTAAAAGCTATCATACAAAGAATCCGCAAGATAGCTTTATCCTATTGAAATTTAGTCAGCGCGCAATATGCTTAGCCAAGGTTGCTCTTTAAAAAAAAAAAAAGTCCCCAGTAAGGTTCACAGTTTTTATGTTATGTATGTACCTGATCCTGCACATCCTCATCAGATGTGTATAGAGTAAGAGGATCAAACACAGATTCTGCCTTAATGTACAGTCGGAATTCACTGGCGTCCACACCTCTGCATATTTTACGCGCACCGTTGTCTCCACGTCTCCAAAGCTCCCTTTAAAAAGCGACGCAGCGCAAACGTGATTATCTAGAAGGTGTTGGTGTCTTGTCAGAAAACATTAAGTGTCACCTCTGACGGACACGCTGGGTGACTTTGATGTGGCTGCGGCTATCAGAGTGTGAATTCGCTCTGGTCCAATAATCTGGCTGGTGAGGAGAAGAGCGTCGACCGCGCGACTGAGCTCTGCGCGTTCACGTGGAACCTATAAACGGTCGTGGCGCGCAGAGCTGTGAGTTGTCGTGGAGAGAGGAGAAGAGGATAATCGTGGCACAGGATTGCATCAGTAGCGCCGTGGGAGATAACCTGACACAGCTACAGCAGGAATACATAAAATGCCATCACCACAAAGTTTTTTCTCTCTCTTTTATAACACGTAGCTGCACCAACTTTGCTGTGCAAGGTGATATGTGAGCAGGAGAGTCCAGTCATGCAGCTGAATGAGACTGGAGTTCAAACACTGGCTCCAGAGCCATGTGAGCATCAACTACTACAGGAGGAGAACGCTGGAAACTGTAGCGGAGGTTCCACCAGCAACCTGTCGCTGCACTGCTGGCTGCAGCTCCTCACCAAGGAATCTATCATGGAATTTCAAACAGACAGCTCCAGTTTGGTGGTGCGTGTGATGATAGCATGTGTCTACTCTATCGTCTGTGCACTGGGGCTGGTAGGAAACTCACTGGCTCTGTATCTGCTGCACTCACGTTACAGGCAGAAGCAATCATCCATCAACTGCTTTGTGATGGGACTGGCTATCACAGACCTCCAGTTTGTTCTGACTTTACCTTTCTGGGCAGTGGACACAGCCCTGGACTTCCGCTGGCCATTTGGCCGCGTGATGTGCAAAATCATCAGCTCTGTCACCACCATGAACATGTACGCCAGTGTGTTCTTCCTCACAGCAATGAGCGTGGCACGTTATTACTCTATCTCCACTGCACTGAAGATGCACAGCCGGCGGGCTGCAGCCACTAGGGCCAAGTGGACAAGCCTGGGCATCTGGGCTGTCTCTCTGCTGGCCACTTTGCCTCATGCGATTTACTCCACCAGCGCCCAGGTGTCAGATGAGGAGCTTTGCCTGGTGCGCTTCCCAGACTCAGGCAGCTGGGATCCACAGCTTCTTTTGGGTCTATACCAGCTGCAAAAGGTCCTGCTGGGCTTCCTCATTCCTCTGATCATAATCACCGTCTGCTACCTGCTGCTACTGCGTTTCATCCTCAGCCGACGCATCACAGGTGCAGCGGGTCCAGAGGTTGAGCAGGGCCGGCAAAGTCGTCGCTCCAAAGTGACCAAATCCATTGTCATTGTGGTTCTCTCCTTCTTTCTGTGCTGGCTTCCCAATCAAGCGCTGACACTGTGGGGAGTGCTCATAAAGTTTGACCTTGTGCCCTTCAGCAAGGCCTTCTACAATGCGCAGGCCTACGCCTTCCCCCTGACGGTGTGTTTGGCACACACCAACAGCTGCCTCAACCCTGTGCTCTACTGCCTGATTCGCCGGGAGTTTCGGGCAGGTCTCAAGGAGATCCTCCTCCACGCCACGCCATCCTTCAGGAGCCTTACTCATCTGCTGCGTCGCAAGGCCAAAGTGGCTGAGGCGCCGCCTGTTCTTGTGCTGGTCCAAATGGATGTCTGACTTGGATGACTGGCTTACTTACTGTGACAGAGGGGCATAAGGAGTGAATGACAAAGTAAATAAGCCTATAGTACCATTGATCTGGAGCTTTACCATGATGGTGCATTTATCTGAGCCCTGTCAACACAGAATATCAAATATCTTTTTGGCTTTTGAAAACAACTTAATCATAATTGACTACCCAGTGGGATGTGCCCCACTTTCACTGCATGCACCAAGATTCATTTTGCCGCAAATTGTTATACAATTGTTATACAACGTCTCTCTCTCTCTCTCTCTCTCTCTCTCTCTCTCTGCCTCTGACAGGCAATACGACTACTGTTCTCTGATACGTTGTCATGAATATGTATAGATGTCAATCATAAGTAAGATTCAAACAGTTGCAACATTCAGACTTGTTATCTGAGATGACCTCAGTTAATCTAATTGTAAACCTCAATTAATAATTGTCTCAGAATCGGCATCATGAGTGGGATTAAGCATTCTTTACACACACTGTGAGTTGATGAGGGAATTATGTGGATAACAACACAGGTAAATCAGGACCAAGATGTTTAGAAAGAAAATGTAAAGAAACATGAACAGAATGAGTAATGAATAAGTTCCCAGTTGCTGTGTTTGTGTTTGTTCTATGGTGCAATTGTGTACATTGTTTCAGAAAGTAAAAGCAAACTGAAAAAAAATTTAACCTAAACTAATGATTTAAACAGTAGGCTAATAGTGTATGGTATTATTTGCTAAATTTAAAACATAATAAAAAAGAAAGTAACTGAAAAGCCCAATGGTGTATATTTGTTAAAAAATGAGAAAATAGCAAGTATTGTACAACATCTGTGCAACTCATACAGGAGCAAAGAATAGCTAGTTAGGTTGCACCTGAAATGGAGAAAAAAGAAGAAAGAAATCCATAGAACGTGCAAGAACTGAAATCAATTTCCTGTCCTTTTTCAAGGTAAGACAATATGACACAATACATCAAAGGATTCAGTATAACAAGTGTATAGTTCCAGAGAGGAATGCTGTCATTGTGGAAACATTAGCATCAAGAGTTGAGGTGATTCAAAGGAGATGTATACTCCTGTGCAACAAATATTAGACTATTCACAAGTGAGCTGAGCACAAATACTGTTTTGTATGCACACAAATTGAAGCTCACTCTTTTTCTCCCTCTGACTGTACACTCATACACACATGCAGCATATATCTGGGTGCCGTTTTCTCATTGCTGTAGACGTGCCAGATTTAATAAAATAATGAATTATTTAGTATTTACAGGAAATTTGCAGTTTTGTGTATCTTTGCAGCATCTTCAAACCAAGCCATTCATAAAAAAAATAAGCATTTCTTAATGGACAGTCCATTGATGCAGACACTAGCCTTTCCTTCTCTGTTAAATTACACTGTTGCTGAAGGAGCTCATAACTGAGTAAAACTGATAATGTGATCTTCTGTGAAAATGTTGTCACCCTGTATTCTTTCATGACTGTGACCATGATGATCTTTTAAAGAAGACATATGTTGTTTTGATGTTTCAATGGAAAATTATATTAAATGACACACTGTAATGAAAAGTAAAGATTAAATTAAAAACCCTCCTCTTGAACTATTTGGAATAATTGGAGCAAGTTGGTATTCAGAGCACATACATGGGGAGATGAATTAGGCAGTGGAGTGTCTGAAAAGTGAAAAGTGGGACTAATGTTGTTGTACAACAATCCTACACAGACATAGGCAGAGAATCACTGCTCTGTTCTTTTATTAATGGGATTTAATTTATTCATTCTGTGTTTGCACAGCACCTCTTCAATCACTAATAAAATCAACACTGCACTGCACAAATACCCTACCAACAAGGGTGCTGACAAAAGTGCTGTTAATAAGAATTGCTGTCAGATAGAGGGGATAGCTTTTCTTAATCCTCTCTGATGAGCTGGGGTGAAATAAGAATTAGATTTTCGCTTTTAATCAAAGCTTCTGTGACTTGCAGTGACAATTTAACAAAGCACGCTCAAAATATTTTAACATAAATGCTGGTGTTTATTTGTTCAGAAATGTTCTTTCAAATGTTTTGTGCAACTTGAAGCTCATGCTTAATATCACTCTAGAAATTAGACGTTAGAAATGAATTAGTTCCTCTGGTTAGCAACTGTGTGCATGATGAAATATTATATTGTTATAAAAGCTATGGAACTAAGTCTTGATTACTGACTGAAAAAAGCAAGCAACTGCCCCAGGGCTCCAGAGAAAAGCCCCTGAGTCACTGTTTGTTAATTGATTTGTGGGAATGTACCCCACAAACACATACAAAGATAAGAGCATTAAGGGTCTTGCATTATGGCTTAATATACATGCTTAATCTTGCATGGTGCCCTGTGTCAGAACGTATATAACCACCTTTATCATTTGAATTCATATTGTGTTTGATATTGTTCCATATTCATAAATAAATGTGTACTGATATACAGCAAACCTTAAGTCGGACACTATTCCAACTAAGAAGTACTGGTTGGTTTCTGGGCCTCTAGACAAGATGTAATTAATCTGCCAAGGGTAGTCTGCTGGGTGTGAAGGCAACCTGCTACATATACAATACCCCAAGAGAGGGAGGAGGGGAGTCAACAGGAGTCCACAGCTAATTTTTGCCCCAGGGCCCCCTAGTGGGTTAATCCAGCCATGCTGGGGACAGAATTATTTTCTGCAAATCAGTTAGAATCAGTTAGATAGACTTGAATGAACAGTTGTGTATCCAGGCATTTCTAGAAGCTGAGTCAATCTCTATTGTCATAACACCATTAACTCAGAATCTCAGGGGTCTTCATTATGCAGAACATGGATTCTAAAATAACAGTGCTTACTGGGAATTTTGATCATTAGAAGATACATTTTGTAGAGAGATTTTTTGTTTAACAGTGTTGCACCCTGCTTATGCGAAGAGTTAAGTCTGAAAAAAGAACATCCAGCAAAGTCAGACCAGATTTTCTGGCCTGGCATAAGCAGAATTTAACATTTGTATGCCTGACATCATTGCTGATCTTCCTTGACAAACCACTGGAATCAAACCAGGATCTTACACACGTTGTTATTTTCACTCTCAGCTGCAGAGGAACACTTTTGTAATTACCTATACACACGCACAATTTGTAGCTTCAGCGCGTGCATCTTGTAAACCTTGCTGGGCAATCCACAGAAAACCGTACAGGGTTACTCTCTCTCCAATAACAACTGCCTCTGGCCAACAGCCAAATAGTCTGCAATGAAAACTCAGCATGCAAAGCTCATAAAATCATAATGAACTAGTGCCATGTAGAGAAAAACTGTTTATCATTTATGTCTTACGTGTAACAGTTCCCCTATTCCCAGACAGCACCCCGAGACAGAAGAGGGAATACTATGTTTGCTTTTCTTCAAATTAGACCTGACCTATATTTTGCTAAACCAATTTTTTCGTGTGTGGCCAACCACATACACAGAAATTATTTCCACACAGTACTCAGCCCTCAGCAGCTTAGAATGTATTATAAATAGAACTTCCCTGGATTTATCTTTTTTTCATAAACCTTGCTGGTATATAGGCTACTGCATAGGGCTGGACTGAGCTAGAGTATAGAGTATATATATGTTGCTCACACACATATTACGGGAACTATTACAGGTCAGGGGTAATCAAATAATAACTTTAAATTTAAAGTAAATATGTTACGTTAAAGTCAACACCTAAGAGGAAATGGACCAAAGACTTCCAAACCTTCTAACAATAAAAGGTGAAAGATGCCTATAGGGCAGGACATGGACTCACAGGGAAGTCAAGGTAGCAGAAAGACTTTGAGCCCTATTATACTACAATACAGTCAAGTTTATATTTTATATTACACCATGCTTTGGCTGTAATTCAAAGAACTGCCTCTCTCAGAATGCACTTTGATCTGAGTCCATATCTAAAAGGTTCATACAGAGTGCCAAAGCATCTTTTTTCACATCTCAGTCACTTTCTGTCTTATATGAGGAACCATTTGATTACAATCAAAACTGACACACAGAGGTGCACAACTATGAGTGCATGTAAGCTAATAGACCTATCAACATGCACTTTACTACCATTCATGTTAGGCTGTTTGATCAATACTCATCCAAGTTTCCCCTGGGACAGGAAGTGGTAGTAGAAGGTTGCACGACACCCTTGGCGTTAACCTTTCTCTAAGGCCTAATGGTGGCCTAACAACACTTGCATCTCTAGCATATTTAATTGTCCCTCATTAGTGTTACACAGGCTCTGACTTGGCAGAGGTAGAGTTGACTTTTTCAACCACGGATGGGATTATTTAGAAGCAGGCAACATGTTAATGCCACATAGTTTCCATCAAAAGCTCCTGAGGTGAAAGAGACCTCATACAGCTAAATTGATTATCTATACATGTAAGGCAGCAAACTGGGCAGCCCATGAAAGGCAAATTCAAAGTGTTCTACATAAGACAGAAAGGCATTAAGGAAATATAGAGAATAGGATTTTTTGTGAAGGATCTGCGAGCTGGTGGTATCGTATATGCGGGAGATGTAGACTGCTCATTAATTAACAATTAAAAAGCGTAGTACAAAAACACTGTTGGTGAAAAAAACGAAATGAGACCACACCCATCATAAATCAATGTCAGTGCGTGCAAAAACACCTTTTTCTCCTTCATCATTTCTCTTTGTTACTTTAATCGTTTTTCCTTGTGCCTCCTTGTCTCTCAGTTATTCAAATACACTTCCCCTATCTATTACTTAAAGTTATAGCCTTCTTGCTATTTAATCCGCTTTTTATGGGCATTTATCTGACAGCTCTCTTAAATGAGAATCTTATTCCTGATAAATAAAAACACACTCCCCCCTTTATTTACAAACTCAACAGGCCACAATTACTCAGGTCAAGGCTCATTAATCATTCAAAGCAGCACCTTACTCTCTGTGGGAGTTGTCTTCATTTTCAAGATATTTTTTGGCACGTTCAAGGGCAGAGTTTGAAGATTTTCAATCAACTATGTGGCCCCATTTTTTCTGGTCATATCCAGTTGCACAGTCACACCCATATCTTCAAAAGTCCATCACTGAATTAAATTTCCCTCCCAAAGCAACAGAATGTGCTTATCTCTCTGACTATTAAGGAGCCTCATGAGAGATGAGCACTAACACAGAGTCAGAGGCTGACTCTCTCCCTCTCCCTCACTAAATTCCCAGCTTTCTGCTTTGCTAATGACTCCGCTTGAGATGCTAACTTTTTACCTGTTACATTTCGTGATTAACGTACTGCCAGATTTCCTGCCCACGGGTGTGCACTTAGTGTGTGCACTGCCTGGCTGGGATCTAAGCGAGACAGGACCATAATGCCATTTTCATCTGGCAAACTTTGGTTACCTGTTTTGCTGCAGCCCCCACAGACAGCTTGAGACTAAAGCTTGTTCTGTGCCTGACTTTAACGGAGTTAAGAGGGGAGAGAAAGCACAAACACATTGTTGTGTAAGAGCAGTGACACAAAGTCCAGATAAATTTAAAGATTCATCAATCCTGCTGGTACTTCTCTGTACATTTATCTCTTGTCTCTTCACTTGTCTGACTCTTTGAGGCACTCAAGTGTCTTGGCAGCTTTGCACCCTACATGATGTCCACAAACTGCAGGCACCATGGAGAGATAAGATTCAAGAATCCTGATTTATTTTATTGTCCTTCAGGGGAAGCAAGTCATTGTCAAGCAACTCCTCTGTGAATCTAAAATCCCTGACGTCTGTAAAAGGAGGCTGTGTTATGCTGTTGTTCAGTGAGCAGTAGCCTGAAAATAGATCAGAAAATTCCCCAGGTAAGTTAGAGGTTATATGCAACGCAAAGTCTTAGGCTCAGCATGAAAGTCAGTGTGTCAGCCAAAAAGATCTGAATCATGCAAAAATTTGTATATAAGAAATGGTGACAAAATTGATGTCGCTCAAACCCTAGCAGACCTTTGCATTCTCTCAGACTCAGAAAGTATCTTTCCTGCTTAAGACTCCACGGCCATGCAAGCTGTTCTGAGAAGCTGTATTAGACACAGCGGTGCTTTGAACTAGATGCATGCTAACCACATCCATGATGCTACCATGCTCACAAAGATAATGCTAAGATGCTGATGCTAATCGTGTAACAATTACTTTGATCATGTTCTTAGTTTAGTGTTAGCATGCTTATATTCGCACTTAACAAATTGCTGATAGGAATGCCATCATTTTCGCAGTCCAAAGTACTGGACATTGAAACACTGACTTTATAATGCCGCTAGAAGACAAGATAAATGATCAAAGTTAATACAATTCATCTTGAGGGTGACAGAATTTCTGTACCAAATTTCATGGCATCTCATCCAATAGTTGTTGAGAAAATTCACTTAAAATCACAAATGTGAACCTAATGATGTCGCCAGAGGGAAGGTCAATGGATCACCAAAGTCTTTAGATTTTATGTTCAGGCAACCACGAATAACTGTACAACATTTTGTGTAAATCTATCCAGTGGATATTGAGAGGTTTCACAAATTAAGTGAAAACTTTTACCTGCTGGTGGTACAAGAGGGACAGTCAGTAGGATTCATT